GACACACAATGTCTTAAAATATTGTTTTGAGACAACACTATGTTAATAACTGGCACTTCCTACCACCAACACTACTAAGGTGAATTTGTTGCCAACATATAACTGGTGGTGCATTTGTGAAACAAAACTGAAGTTATTATTTTTGGACCTAAAGAGGAACGATCTGGAGTCCAGCACACAGCTTCAGGGATTACAACTAAAACCGAGTGAGGCCTGAAATCTGGGAGTAGCGATGGACTCTGACCTGAACCTACAGAGCCACATAAAGACAGTTAAAAAGTCAGCCTTTTACCACGTGAAGAACATCTCCAGGACTAGAGGACTAATGTCCCAGCAAAATCTAGTGAAATTCATCCATTTATTACAGCAACAGTGTTTCTACAGGTCTGCCTAAAAAAATTGAATCCTCCAGCTGCAGCTGATCCAGAGCGCTGCTGCTCGGGTTCTCAATAAAGCCAGAAAGTTAGAGCACATAACACAAGTTTTAAAGTCCCTACACTGAGCTCCACAGTACATTAAAGATATGCTGTTGTCGTGTCAACCTTCCAGAACCGCTCAGGTCTTCTGGTTCTGGTTCTGCTCTGCATCCCCAGAACCAGAACCAAACATTCAGCTTCTATTTACCTCAAATCTGGAACAAACTTCCGGAAAACTGCAAAACAGCTGAAACACTGACTGTCTTTAAATCTAGACTAAAATCCCACCTGACTAGAGTTGCTTTTGAAATATAATCAATGAAGCATTAATCAACAATCTGATATGAAACGACGGCGGTTGACAAAATGTAATGTTTCCACTGTGGACTGTCTTTTCTACAGCTTTATATTTTTGTGTTTTCATGATGTAACGCAATGCCTTGTTGCTGAAATGTGCCATAAAAAAAAAAATGATTTGATTGATTGATGACTCAGCATTAATTCAAGACAGACACCGGGAGTGGAGCACCTGAAGCATATTGTTGATTCAATGTTTAATCTCAACAGAAACTGGAAGCAGAATAAGAATAATAACATGTAGCAACATTTAAAAGGGAATATCAGGGCAGAGGCTCAGTTCAGTGAACTGATTAGAATTCCAAAAAACAACATGAAGTTTTTCTTTGTCTTAAATGCAACAATATCAACAGAGGTTCAATATCTTGCCCATCTAAGCTGAAGTCTCACACAGGCAAGGAGGAAGAGCCTGCAGATGCAGAGGAAGGAAGCTGCAAATTAATGTATTTCAATTAGATTTTGTCTGCTGATCGTTTTACACAGCATTATGAATCATGACGATCGATATAAAAAATGCTTTTGGGATGGCTACCATTTAAAAAAGTCAAAGGGTGCTTTTTGTTTATAGAAAAATGTTACAATTTACAGGGAAAACTTTATGAAAGCAGACAAGCTTTTGTTAAAAAATATTTTTTGTTTTGGGACATTGCTGCCTAATCATCAAACATAAAAACTAGATCTCAACATTGTCTTCAAGATTTCCAGACAAAAATAAATAAATAAATAAATAAATAAATTAATTAATTAATTAATTAATTAATTAATTAATTAATTAATTAATAAAACACCAACTGTGTACTGTTCAAGATAACAAGAATCATGAACACCCAGGCGTAGAGTTAGGGCACATTACCTAATATTCTTGATCGTATCGTAGTTTAATGTAAACATCAAGAAATTTTCTTTTCTTTTGTATCAAAATTGCAACAAATTTCCCTAATATGCCTGCATTCTGTAAAGATTTACGTAGCAAACATGCACAGTGTATAAAGCTAAGGGATAAAACTATATGACAGCAAACTGTTGCTTACTATTTCTTAAATAATGCAGCACAGTTATGCATTCTTATGACTTTCCTACATTCATATTGTATAACAAGCTGGAAACAGTAGACAAATTCCAAGAATTGACTGCTAATGCCTATAACTAGGACCTCTAAGTTTTAAATTTGACATTTAATATTAGACCTGTGGTCATGTCATGAGGAAAAACTGTGTGAAAAGCTAATTCTGAAACCATCTACTGAAAATACAACTTTATTGTTTCATAAAACCTTCAGCACAAATGGAACAGATAAAATGGCTCCCATAAATCCCAGGGGATGAAATAGTCAAATAAATGGGCAAATCTATTGTTGCTCAGGCAGACAGCAGCACCACCTGCAAGTACACGCGCAGTGACCCTCCATCTTTTATCATGGCTGCTCTTTTCAGACTTTCTTAGCTACCTGGTGGGCTTGCTGTTGTCCTGCTTTTCGCCGTTTCCAAAGCAACAATGAGCGAGGACTGAACTCCAAGCATGATGTCCAAGTCCAAGCTGAAAGCCCGTGCGAGAAGACAAAAACGTAATTTATCATACACCAGTGAAAAGTTCTTAGGAACAATATAAGAATTAAAAAAATAAATTGTGCCCTTGCAATAACTGATAAGTATTTTTTTTCCAGATTGTAGCATAATTTTACAAAACAGTCAAGCTACCTGCTTGAGAAGAAACCATTAGTAAGGGGCGACCTGAGTAGCAAATTTGACGGCTTAAATTATGTTTAATTAATGATTTAACTATTGAATCAGTTTCTTTATTTAACTAACCAATAACTGTTTCCATGGTGACACCAGCTTTCAGCTTTCAGCTTTTCAACCAGACAATTAACAAGTAATTATCAGGCGGTTTTGTTGAAAACCGGACAACAATGTCCTACTGACACAGCGAGTGACTCCCATCGGTCTCATTCCATCAAGACCACGGATCACGGTCGGGCTCAGACAGAAGCCGTGGCGCTGTGAACGGAGCAGAGAGACGGCAGCCGGGGAAGTCCACAAGGCAGGCTGAGCAAACAGTCTCTATAAGCCGCCGCTCTCCCCGTCCTACTCCTCACAAACACCAGGTCCATCAGCAGCAAGCTCGATGAAGTGGAGCAAACAAATTCAGCCGTGGCGCAGTCAGGACTTTTGACTGCAAAAGTCAGATTTATCATGTTAAAGCGCCTTGAATTTGTAAGCATCGCGCTAATAACTGTGTCTTATTGCCTTCTGCTGGAAAACATGAGTTATGGCAGTCAGACCTAAAGAAAGTAGCAGCTATGATCAGGAAATGAAGCATTCATGCTTCCACTAACTTTTATGTATGTTTTTTTTTTAAACAACTGTCAAAGAAGAGTAACTCGCTTATAGCAATAACATAAGGAGGAAAGCATAGCAAAAGTAAAACAGAAAAGAAAATCCAAAACATAAAATGGTTAAAAATATCAAAATTGCTCAGAGCCTTTTGTCTGCTGTGCTTTCCTGATGCCTGAGGAGCCTGAGGAGCCTGAGGAGCCTGAAGAGCCTGAGGAGCCTGAGGAGCCTGAGGAGCCTGAGGAGCCTGAGGAGCCTAAGGAGCCTGAAGAGCCCTAGGCTGATCATAATGAGGGAGAGACAGGAGGCGAAACTTCACCTAAGATCCTGTCATAGGTAAATGCCCAGTCAGTGGCAGAAACCTGAACTCAGTTCAGTTCAGGTTTATTTACAGAACGTCAATTCACAACAAACGTCTCGAGGCGCTTTACAAAAAAAATGATTTCAGTTCAAGCACACATGCATTCCAATTGATCTTAGTTATGAAACAGTGCAGTTTGCTTAATTAATCATTCAAAAAAAGTTTTAAAATGGTTTCCGTCTAAGTCACTGACTCGCAGTATTAACTCCACCCGGATGAGCATGTACTTTGCTCTGTCGTTGATTTGTACAGCAATCCCCCATGCCGAGCATGCAGGCAGTGACTGTGGAGAGGAAAAACTCCCCCTAAACAGGGAAGAGACCTCCAGTAGAATCTGGATTAGTACAAGAGCCCATCTGCCACAACCAACTGAGGGCTTTGAGGGGAGAGAGTAATTTATACGAGCTCTTCCTGTCGACTTCCAACTGAGTTTGCATGATTTTTAATAGAAGACATTTATTAAAGGGGAGGCAAATATTACTGTTGAGAAATCAGTTTCCATCCGTCTTCTTTGTCTATGCTGATCTATATTTGAACAAAATATGCATGTCTGGCACTAATGGTGGAGCATTTTACAAATTAGGTGGGGAATTATTCACAAGATAAGTGCAGCTGTTAATGGTTCAGGTTTGTCAGATCCACTTCAATATGTATATTTATTATCTGTACATCTAATCGTACATCTTTGTTGGTGGCTAACAGTGTGTGCAAAAACGTAAAAACGACTGGTAATTAAAAAAAAGTATTTTTAACTCCTCTTGATCTCTTATTTTTATGTGTTTCTCTGGTTCCAAGTCGACAGTATTGGGTGTTAAAATCCCTCTTCCTGTAATTTCACAGTGTAGAGTAGATTTAGGGCAAGGTCTACCAACTAATGAAACACAACAAAAAAAACAACAACAAAAAAAAAAAACAAGGATACATAATTTATTTGATTTTTCTGAATTCATTTTTCTTGCTGTTTTTTTTTTTTTTTTTTTTTTCCAACACAGATCAACAAGGAAATTGTGCCAGTCTGGGTCACATATTATTACTATTTGGCTTTATTTATGGTTTTAAAAAAAATAAAAAATCTTTAAAGGTATTTCTCTCTGCAGCACTTCACACCCTTGATGAAATTTTTGGGATTTAAAAAAAAAAAAAAAAAATTAAAGATCCTTGGCACCATTCTCAACGGGTCCAGGAACGTGAGGTGGGAGCATTATTTTATGAAGAGTTTGTGCCTTCCACAGCTTAATAAATGAAAGGCAGACAGGCGCCAGTATCACAAGGATAAAAACACAGTTAAAGCATATTTTATAATAAATCCTAATTCTTCCCTGCACGTTAGAAAATATGTAAATCAAGTGAAACTGCTCCAGTTTTCTTTCAAATTCAGAGATAAACCAAAACAAGCACAATCAAATAGCCACAAGTTATTGGAACCTTCCTAACACTAAATATTTAAGACTGTTTTATGTTATTTATCTACTGCCTTCTCGCTAATTCACACACACACAACAGTAGCCAGATTGCCCTTAGACGTTCATTTACCTTGGACAAGAACATGCACTGAGGTTGTTCTCGGCCGACTGCTTGTCTGGACTGCGCACACATACTGTCCTTCATCCGTCATGTCCACATTTTCAATCTTAATGGTAAACTCCTCCTGGTTAAGGGTCACCAGACTCACTCTGGGATCAACTGACCATTTGTCTTCTCCGGCATAAAGTATACTGGAGCGGTTCAGCCATGCTGTGTGTGTCACAACGTCTCCCTGTTCGCACCTGCGAAAAAGAACAAGCAAATAAAATAAAGATTAAAAAGCAGACGGAAATTTCTCTGTCTACATGTCAGTCTCAGAACAATGACTTAATCTACTTTGTACAATCATGTCAAAAGTTAAATAAAACCTAATCTATGGGCCTTGAAAGCAAAACGTAGCGAACAGTTGTGCTCTCCATTCATTCACTTTAGTTCATTTTTTGTTTTTTTTCTACAAACAACCAACCTTGTCAGATTTTGCCGGGATTTTTTTTTTGTTCCCCCGCCCCCACTCAGGTCCTACAGGCTTCAATTAAAATGTTCTGGTTTGCAGAAAGTGCTCCAGTGGAGCCATACGCTTTCAGGCCCAAAACACACCGCTTACATTCAAGATGACAGTCCCTCTACGACCCGACGGGCTCACGAGAGCCAGCATCCGTGCAAGAGTTTGTGTCAGAACTCCCGGCAGCATCAACCCAAAGCGGTCCGGCACTAAGCTGAGAGCTAATATCACCGTTACACTCTTTCATTCATTCTGTACTTCTGAGGTCCCACCGTGGGTAAGTACTCTACGTTTTCCTATCTCTACGTATCACCTCTTTCACTTACACTCTCAGTGTAACGTTCCAGTTTTACTGTTTACACTGAGCGATTAAATGACTTCATTTTCATAGTCCAAGAGATACAATGTCCATCTCTAAAGTCTAAATTGGTTTCAAATAGTGACCAAACATTTAGACTTAACTTTTTCTAATTTCTTTTCAGCATTTTTAAGTCAATGCTTCATTATTTCTTTGATGTTTTTTCATGCATCTGTTACCTATATTACACTCCCCACTGAATAGAAATGAAATCTGTCAGAATCTGTCAGTAATTATTAGATAATTATTTGCAAAGTAAGTTCATTTACAATATTCAAAAGTATCAAAAGTGTATTAAATCACAAATTGTGGTTTCAGCTAATAATTGATATCTACACAGTAATTATTAAAGCGTTAACCTTTAACAAACAAGCAGACTTTCAATAATGGTCGTAACATTGTAACTTCTGACACTTCTAAACTTTTTCTATTGCCTGCAATTGAATGGAAGACCTTCTAAAATGTAAAAAAAAAAAAAAAAAAAACTTAAATAAATTTAGAGGAACTGAGCAACTTTTCTGTTAAGGTTTCTATTTAATCAGAGAGGGTCAGCAACATGAACAGCTTCCTGGCATCACCTTTCAGTATCACTGTGATGAGAAACAGTAGGGTCATAAAGCCGCTGCTGCTTTGAAGGGAATGAGAAAATGGAAGAAGCATATAAGACTGCACATATGATGTGTCCGTAAAACACTAAAGAACAACGTGGGGGTGATGTCGGTGGGCGTTTGCCCTGCAGTTGGTGGGTTGACTGTTCGAGGCCCCGCCCCTTCCGTCTCCGTCATCGTGTCTTTGGGCGCTTCACCTGCCTTGTCTGACCCAGACCCAGACTGACCCAGGGCAGCTGTGGCTACAACCCAGTAGCTCACCATCACCAGGCCTTTCAATGTGTGTGTGAATGGAGAATGACTGATTTTCACTGTAAAGTGTTCCTGAAATGTCTGATACAAGAAGTCATGATATTTACATGACTTCTTGTACTTGTATAATTGTAGTAAGTCAAGCATAAGTCTATAAAACTGTACAAATTGCACAGGTTAGAAACACTTTTTAAGATGATGCATTTTCAAAAAATAAATCTACGCTTGAGTTAGAATTTAACTGATGAATGCAAACATCACCCTCTACAAAATCAGACGTACTGGTGTCACAATCACAACAAAAACTGACAACAAAGCAGGAAAATGTAGATTCACTTCAAAAAAAAACTGCAGTCGTCAAACATGAAATGTTTGATGAAAATCTGGAATGGTGATATTTGGAATTATATGATAAACGATAACGCGCAAAATACCTGCACAACAATGGAAACACGCATCACATAACCTATAAATAAAATACTTATGCCAGCAAATATGTGTGTATATTAACTCATTTTTTTAAGCAGACAGAATCACTGGATATACAGAAATGTAAATCTGCTTTACTGAGCTAATTTCTTCTAAAAAATAAAACTGACTGATCATTCACGTTGCCATTCTACTTGCCTGCCAGCCTCTCGTTCAATTGTATTCTAAATTCGTGAAGAGCACCATAAGGTATCATTTTCTCACATTAGTTCACACAAAATACAGGTTGAATGTGCTTCAAATCGGAATTTTTTTTAGCTGCTGTTTAATTTATAAAGTTCTAAATCAATTCACATGGTTGGGGGTTAACACTGCTCTGGCCTGAGGTCTTGGACCCTGGGTGGTCATTTTCAGCCCCGCTGCCTCACAGTAAGCCGTAAATCGCCCCCGAAATGAACCGAAGCTTCCCGACACACCAGAGAGATCACGCTGAGGATAAAATAACAATAACAAAGTAACAAAACATAACAGAAGAGAAAATATATATTTTCTTGAATTAAAAACAAGCTATAAAACTTGAGCACTTATTTCCCCGGTATCAATATCGTGCAGATGTTAAAGATAAAAGTCGCCTCGTGTATTTCTTGTGTAAACTTTGTAAGTTTACTGTATTCAGCTATTTGCTGTTTTTTTTTTTTTTTTTTTTCCTCCCCCAACATAAAAAGCTTTTTATTTATTTTTTTATTTTTTTAGCTCAATATTCTCAGAAGTGTCTCCAGCCGTTTTCACTGAGACATTAATGCATCCTTCTTGGTGCATTGGCCACTTTACCATCAAAGCCGTCTGTTGCTAAGTGCACACTTTCCAAGTAGCTTATTGAAAAGTTGCACTGATCTCTGCTATGGAACGTTGCTGCTCTGAAGACAAAGAGATGCTCCATGACCTGTGACCTCTTTGGGTCGCGCCCTGATCCCTGGAGCCTCGTCTTCACTCCTTACTCTCTTCTGGTCTTTGAAAGCATCTTGTTTTGATCTCTTTCTTTCCTGCACTTTACTTAAGAATCCCATGAGCTACACAATCGGTCTTCGTACTGCCATTGGCTTTGTATTTTATATAGTCCAACAGAAAAGAAAAGTACGTATATGATCAGGTTATGTGTAGCTGTGACATCAAGTGTGCTCAGTCCTTCCTGTTGATTTCACTTGATGTTTTTTTTTTTTTTCCCCCATCTCTTTTCCAAGCGTATTTTGCAGGTATACAGCTTTACATCAGAGTTACACCTGTTCCCATTTGAAGCCTATCATAGTAGGAAGGAATTAAATAGCAGAGTGCAACCTGAGCTAGCGCCTGGCTGTTCCAGGGCTAATGCAAAGACACGCGAGACAGACAAATTTACAGTTTCTAATTTGTGTACTCGGCAGAGAGGAGCTGGCCAGACAAAACGCGCTCATGCCTAAATTATAACGCTGTATCTATAGGTCAGCTGCTGTCTTATACACTAAATAATAAAGTTCATGTTTATTATGTTCTGTGATGAAAACAGAGCAGAAAGTAACTTAGCTTGTACAAATTGCTTTTGAAAGTTCTTCCTCTACACAAAACCATTTCCATGACCCTTGCTCAAGCAGAGCAAAGGTCATGCACTTCAGAGTAAAATATCATTTCTACAAAATGTCAGCATTTTAAAGCGCAAATTGCACAAAATGATGGCACTAAATGGTTTTTATGAAACTGTCTGCTTTACAACTTCAATGTCCACTTTTGCATAAAAATCCATCCTGCTGTTAGTGACCGGGCTTTTAAATGTCAGGAAATACGATTTCCATCAGAGTTTGGAAACAAACATATTCTTTGTAAGGTCACAGGGGTGAGGAGCCTTTAAATGAAAACATTGCCTGATTACCCTTTGTTATATAACAGATATAAAGGTCATGCGTTCGTATTAATTTTCTGTGTGTGTCAGTAGGCTCTCTTGGGTGGCGAAGAGTCATCATGACTCCTAGAGTGTTGCTGATTGGATCCCAAGAAATCCAAGCATAATTTTTTTGGGGGGAATGCTCAAATGAACATTGAAGGAGATCAGATGGACTTTTAGTTCTTTTTTCCTGTCTGACTACAAGGATTTTTTTTTTGGACAACAAACATTACACATCAAGAATTGTGAGTCTTTGTTAGGTGCATGAAAACACAACGAGAAACTCGGTCGATTGCACAGAAGCAATGGAATCCACTTAGACATTTACACACGGGTGAAGACGACTCGCTGAAATTTAAACTTGCCGTCTCCGTCTGGAACAAAGGGGATTTATCCGACTTCGAATGTGGGATGTCCTGTTGGTGCCAGACGCTAGGCGGCCCAGTGCGAGTGTTTTAGGAAACGCTAATCTACTGGCGCTTTCCGAGTTTACGCAAAATGGCACGAAAAAAGAGAAAACATCCGGTAACAAAAAGCCCTCATGATGTTAGAGATAAGCGGAGTGGGCTAACTGGGTTGAGACGAAAACAGCAGCTCAAACAACCCCTTGCTGTGGCTTTCCATTGAAGCCAACATCAGCTAAATGTAAGTCAGGACTCCAGCTTCCCCGAAACATTGGCAACAGATGACACTCATGAATATGTAATATTGAATTTTACGGTGCTTTGTTCCAACAGCATGATATTAGTTTCTTTGTGTTCATTTGATTAAGATAAAGGATCAATTATTTGGAGAACTCCAGAATTCTCCAAATAAACCATTACTTTATTTTACTTATAAAGTGACGCTGTATTGGTCAAGAGTAATAAAGAATTACAGTCTCAAATTAAAGTTTTGTCTTTAGTAAAATGGTATTTGGAATCAATATCAAGCTTGTCGATTAGTCTAAACTAGTCTGAATTTAGAGCTAATTTGCCTCTTAATCTTAATAAGCTCAAACTAATTGACAATCTAAATTCCTCATGGATTAAACCTGCTTTCTCCGTATTCACAGTTTGTACTGAACTGTGACAACATTTAACCATTTAATTGGTTCTTTTTTCAACTATTTTAGGATTTCTACTGCTTTTACTGTTAGCAGTTATTAGTTTCATCCTTCTTTCATTAGTTCTTCTGTG